TATATTGGCCACTATTACTGTTGCAGGTAAATTTTTGATGTTGGATTCCAAATGCCCATAAAACCCAACAAATCGACTTCAACAGGATTTTTAAATTAATCAAAATTCAAATCATGGAGAAGAAATTATCGTTTCCGTGGTGGGACAGATTGTTAATGTGGCTTCACTTTACCAACCAGGCTTGTCCACGAGGTAAAAGTCAGCGGAATGAGGCGCCACAAGCTGCAGATTCAGAGCACAGACAACAGCAACCCAAACACAGACAACTTCAGGATCATCGTGGTGAGAGCACTTCACACACCCCTTCAAAACTGGAACTGCAATATATATATATCAAATCATAATTGTTATCACAATATCAACGTATGCATTGTTACAATCACGTGAGACTGCTCAAAGTGCTTTACATAAATAAGAAGGAAATACAAGAAACCAAAAGGACCGAACAAAAGAAGAAAAAGAAAACAAAAGAGTATAACCCCACGTCGCTCGGCTGCCATATTTATTGGGTTTTTATAATCTCAGGGGTTTTAACGCTCTGCACAGTTAAAACTTGACTTATCCAGATGGATGGACTTCGCTGCCCTTGACGCACAAATTAGATACAGATTCAAGCTGACAAAATGCTTATCCTGACAGGAAGTGGCTGGGGAAGGGGGAGAGGGGGATTGTGATGATGGAAAACAAGAAAAAGAATGAGAAAGTTGAGGGTTGATGACAGTCATTATCAGTGTTGGAGTTTTAAACAAATGCGACGATTTTGTTTTCCTGGTATTGTGTAGTTCAGATCAAAATTAGCATAAAAAAAAAAACTAATTTGTTATGTATTTTCCTTTCCTCGTCTCTCTCTCTCTCAGGGGGATTCTGTGTGTGAGCGAGTGTTCACCGTCAACGACGTCTCTCACGGTGGCTGCAAGTACGGCATTATGAACTTCAGCAGCGGCAGCCGGGGCTCTTTGTCCGTGGAAATGTGCGATAATCTGTACTTCACCAACCGCAAGGTGGTAGGGCATTCCTAGAAGACACTCGTATACAGAGATCTGCCTCGCTGTTCTGTCTGGTTTGCTGCCTTTAAACATTTATCAGTGGTTTAGATGTGGATATTGTTCTTAAATGTACCAGTTGTACTTATATTAAGGGGTCTGCTGTGTGCTTTTCAGGTGAACTCCATCTGCTGGGCCTCGGTTAACTACCCCGACTCTCATGTTCTGTATCCTTCCGCCTCAGCCTTCTGGTTTTATGTTGTCAATATTGTACATTTAAATTGACAGTACACTGCTTGAAATAGTTTTTTTTTTTTTTTTTTTACCACATATTGTATTGTACCTTCACTTGATGGGTGACCGTTAGGTTGTGTCTGGTGGGAGCGGCTGACACCCCCGGCTGTGTTAGTTTACTCCCCGCGTCGCTCTTCAGCAACTCTAACCCAGGTTCGTCGGCTCCGTTTGTAACGCTGACAGTAGTTTGTATCGACATCTTTAACCAGACGATGACATAAGTTGCGGTTTCTCGTGCTTAACCTCAACACGTTAGTTGTAAACACTCTTTTCTTCTGACTTTTTTCTTATGCCCAGATCAACCAGGGATGCTGTGTAGCTTCAAGATATCTACAGCTTGGTCCTGCGCTTGGTGCTTCAACCCTCAGTTTGATAAGACCTTCAGCACTGGTTGGTTCTGAAGTCATTATTTTTTCCTTTCAATACATCCGATATCGTGATCAGCCGCCTGTATGCATGTGGAAGGTGAACCAATGTCGCTTGGTTACAGGTTAGCTTTAGCTGTAGATCTCTAGGACAATTGTTTGTTATGGTTAGGGTTTAGCTACATGCAAAACAGTCCATTGATTGGGGTACAGAAAAATGTTACAGCTTGCAATAAGCAGGAGACAGACTAGTGCGTCAAATTTGTCATAACACTGGTCGACTTGCACTGGAATTTATTTAGGCTTAGCAAACTAAAGTGGGTTTATATGAATGCCAAACAATTTGTAATTTCCCTTTCACGTCACAATTTTACCCTAGTTTGTGTTTTGAAACCCTTATAAAATACACTAAAGTTTGTTTTTTGTGACGCAACACAATGTGAAGACGATCCGGGATATGAGTACCCACTCAAGCCGCTGTGGCTGTATTAATGCCGCTGTGCGTGTTTGCAGGCCTGACTCGTCGGGTCATCATCAAGGATGCGGAGACGGGACGGACGCAGACGTACGGCGTCGGCACCGACGTCTTGGCACAGCATTTTGCTCTCAGGGTGAGATTTTCGTCCCCTGCTCTCGCGTAAGAAGAAGAACAAACCCAGGCACTGGATTTAGATTCCCTCCACGTCTCCAGGTTCCGGTCCTGTTTAACGGCTGCCGATCGGGGGAGATTTTCAGCATAGACCTCCGGCAGCGTGGCCGCAGGGATCACAGCTGGAAGGCCAGTCGCTTCCACCACGAGTCAGCCATCACCTCCGTACGAGTCCTGCAGGATGAGAACTACCTGCTGGCGGCGGACATGCTGGGTCAGGTCGGAGCAGTTCGTTTCTTAAGCTCTCGTTGGCATTTTAGCTCAGCTAATTGCTTTTTTTTTGTTCTTTTGAAGAAGTGGAATATGTTGAGTAATAACCAAAGAGCTTTTTGAATTTCCTTATAGATCAAGATGTGGGATGTACGAGTTAGGAAGCCTGTGCTGGAGTACAAAGGGCATCACAACGAGCACGCCTACCTCCCCGTTCATGTCAATGAACATGAAGGTCTTTTGTTAGCAGGTAGGAGAAGATATTATATTCCTGGTTGTTGAATAAAGCAAACTAAAACTTTAACTCACCAACTCACATTCACACAGTGGGCCAAGACTGCTACACAAGGCTGTGGAGCCTGAAGGATGGTCACCTGTTGAGGACCATCCCGTCGCCCCATCCAGCGGCCAACGACATGATCCCAAGTGTCGTCTTCTCCTCGAATTTGGGCGGCAGCAGGGGGCTCCCCGGATTGCTCATGGCCGTCAAGCATGACCTGTACTACTTCCCATACAACACCGACTACCAGGACGGAGGAGAGCCCATCGCTTTAATTCAGACGATGCCATAAAAATGGTCCCTTTAAATAAATGTCCTGAAGCTGTAGTAACATTGTCCAGGAGACCGAATGTAGTTCTGGGTTTAGCGGAAAGTCGAACGCAACCAGAGAACGTCCTCGACTGTCGACCGGAGCTGGGTTTGGGTGACGCACTTTACAAGTTTACCGTTAAATATCCAATGTACACTTAAGAGAAGTGATGCTGTGTGTGGACGTTTGGCTGGATCGTCTCTTGGTGTTAGGAGGAAACGGAGCCACGAGAGCTTAAACATTGTTTACTTTTCTTACAACTTCTCTTGAAAACTTTTCCATAATTTTGTTACATTACAACCAGACGTTCCTGAGTTTTATTGGGATGACTGCCCAACGCAAAGTAGCGTACACTTGAAAAATTGAGGAAGGACTGCTTAGTTTAAAAAAAATTCTACAAGCACAAATCTGAAAAGTGTGGCACGGATTCCTATTCAACCTCCATTAATAACTTAGACCCACCTCTTGTTGCATGTGTTTTGCAAAATGGCTCAAATTCATCCAGTCTGGACGGGGAGCATCAATTTTAAAGTTTTGCCACAAATTCTTAATTGGATTTAGTTTATGACTTTGACTAGGCCATCATTTTGACAAGCTTTCATCTAGACTTTTCTGTTGTAACTCTCATTGTGTTTGTAGGGTTGTTTTTCCCCGCTGGAAAGCCGACCTCTTCTCTAACCGGGTTCACCAGAGCATGATGCTGGGTCCGCTGTGTGCGTTTGCTTTTATTTTCCACACAGGACAGAATATTCTAATTTGTTTTCATCTGACCAGAGCTGGTTCTTATAAACGGACTACGCTCCAGCCTCGCCTGAATCGTCTGTCTTTAAAAAGTTCTTCAAACCACAACCCTGGACAAAGCAACATGATCTCAGTGGTGTTTAAAATCTCAGGGGGAAACATTGTTTTTGAAAATGCGATTGTGCCAAAATAAAGTGCTGCATCATTCAGCAAGTGCATTTACTCAACATGTTCCTGCTGATGAGTCTTGTGTTATTCGGAGGGACGGAAAGCACTTAAACACACATACCAACAGTTAACAGAAATGACGCTTAAAAGTGTTTTTTCAGTTTAATACATACTGAATGAGAAATACATGAACACAAGTCGATGATTGGTTCCATGTGATGTCTATATTCAGTGATAAGATCTGACTCAGGGGTCAAAAAGTCTGTCCTTTTACCCAAAGACTTTGTGACCAAGTCAGTTTCCGTACAGTCAAGTCTTATAATTCCCAGATATTCTGCAGAAGGAAAAAAAAAAACAAAAAAACTGACCAACACAAAGTTGTTAAATTCACAGGATCGTTCAAGCTGCAAACACTGCTCACTAAACGCTACTATATCTCCCGGTTTGAGGAGCCAGCCTCAAACGGGTCTTTAACTCCTACTGTTGTTTCTGTGAACCGGTCACCCAACAAAAACATCACTGAGTTTTAACCTGCGGGTTTATTTTTGCTTTAACAAAAAACAGAATCTATCTAAAAAAAAAAAAAAAAAAACTTCCTTGTTACCGTAAACCTTTTCATTGTATATGCTCTATATAGTCCTTATAAAATCTAAACAATTGAAATGGACAGCACTATTAAGGCTGCTGCATTGTTTCGGGTCACTTGAGTGTACACCAGCAATGACTTTAATTACCGTTATTAAGTAGTAATTACTGTTATTTATACATATAGTTATCTATTAGGTAAAGGTAACAATTACTTGCATATTGACTATTAGGTTATTGAACTGTTTGGAATGCATCTTGATGCAACAGAACAACCTGTCAGTCAATCGGAGTTAAAACTGAAAAGGTTCCATCATTTCTCTTCATGAGGCAAACAATACTCCTGGAGGAACAGACTTGCAGGCAATTAATAACTACGGTTCATACTTTGCTCTCCAAATCATCCATACAACTGGCTCCGAACTACACAAAAGGTGCTAAACGTATGAGAATGTCATACTGACAAGGATTGTCGAAGGGCTACGGAGCCTAAATCTACAGTAAAGGGAGATCTACGGATAGACGACGAACGTAACCTGAATTCAGCCGCAAGCGTGCATCACTTAGCCTCTTCTCAAAATTCAAGTCACGTCTATTTTTAACTGGTGTTCACAGTGTAAATTTTAGGCATATTGACGTCAGTCCGATCAAACAGAAGTGATGCGAGACCGGCAGTAAAACATAATTAACAGTCCCGTTTTCCTGCAGCCTTGAGAACGGTGCAACATCCCATTACTGAGGTTTTGTCCTCCAGCGTTCCCGGGAGGCTTGCGTCTTTTAATCGTTACAGCTTCGCCGTCCTGCTAGAGTTCCCCGGATTTCTGGCTACAGCCGTTGCAGACGCGCACCGGGTGGTCCCAGCCTCGGGACGGCACCGGGCGGCGCTCCTGAGAGCAGTCGTCACACACTCCCTGGCCACAGGCGCGGCAGTGGTGGATGGACAGACGTGGCGTGAACTCCCTTTGGCACTCGCAGCAGGATTGGATGTCCTGGTCTGGGACCCAGTAGGCAGGGCGAGCAGCGTCCTTTACCAGACCTGGAAGAAAGAAATCCTTAGTGGGTAATGGGATTTTTTATTTTTTTTAAGACTTATGAATGGAATTTAAGACCTACAGCTCAAACGAAATCTATGAACTTCCCCCAGCCAAATGGCGGTAAATTTGGACTTACACATAAAGCAGCTAAAAAAGCTAGCAAGCTAATAAAGGTATGATGGTAGTGAGTCATATGCTGCGCTCCATTTACCCTGGAAGCTGGAACCTGGAGCTACAGACTTCTTAACATACTAGTTAAAAAGTCCAAATTTCAACTCATTGTTAGCAGCAGCTCTTACAAACATCATTTTAAGTTTTACTTTCCATAAGCACACTACTTTTAATTTGTTCAGTTTATAGTCACAGGGGGCTACATGTAACATTGAATTTAGAGAGACTCTTACACGCGTCTTGTGAAATAAACATGTCTCCTCCCCTTTACTGTTGATGCGAGGAGCGGCCATATCGAACTTTAAAAAGTTGTGACTTGGGGTAGTCTGAGCTGCTCCCAATTTCCCAGAGGCCAGTCTGATTTTAGGATGGCGTTCGTTTGATTTTACTGACTGAGAGGTCAGTACATTTTCCAGCTCTGAGTACAACTGGAATACAGCAATCAAATGCAATGAAGATGTCTGTGTGTGACTCAAACTTTTGCCTGACAAAAAGAGTCCCACAAGAAAAAAAAATAAAATACAAAATAGAACATACGCAACTAAATAGCCCTACCTAGACAAAATTTAAGACCCATGAATATCACATCTAAGGCCAACTTACAACAATTTAAGACATTTTAAGGCCTTCATTTTAGATACGTGAATTTAAGACTTTTTAAGGCTGCCCTGACACCTGATAAGATGCTAATAAAAACATAGTTAAAACATTCACTGTATTTTAATCAAATACATGTTTTGGTCTGAAGTCTTTGTACAACGTAATGCTCACCTAAAGGTATGTCAATGGCACCGACGACGGCACCCAAAGTGTTTTGAACTGCCTCGCCAACCTTTCTTGCTATCAGGGTGCCTCCCTCTTCCTCCAAGGCAGCGTCCAGCAACTCTGAAACAGAAACCATCCAATCAGACAGAAGATCCCAATATAACAGTGAACACAAAATGACTGGGGTGTCTTGTTTGGTTTCCTTTGCCCTTGGATATAGACAGACGGTCCTGATCACAAGTTTACATGCGATTATTGTTGGCATGATTCCCATATTCACTGTTAAAAACTATTTAGTGCACAAGCTGGAAGTTATGCTGGATTTTCAACTATCCACACAAGGCCAATTTTATAACAGGCTCAAATGTGTGCATATATAGATCAATTCATATCAGGAGCTTAGATTTTTGGGACTGATATCCAGTCTATGTGTAGCGCAAAACAACCAGCCGATAAAGAAAACAATGAGTCAGTCCATGACGTCTGTTTTTAAGACAAACAGTACGTTCATCTCTGAGACTTTGACCCTGGACGGGTCATGCCAAGAAAGCAGCTTCAATAAACTCTACCAATTCTACCAAGAGCCATTAGCTATATATGGCTGTATCTATACTTCTAAATTTGTATAGATGAGAAAGAATATGCAATAAATTCAAAATTCTACACTCGTTTCTTATTTTTTATTATCATTAAAGTTGTTTGTTGCACTTAATTAAAAGCCCAAATTGAAAGATTTTTTTTTTTTTTTTTTACCCGTTGGAATTCCTCGGTTGTGAAAACAAGCATCGCAGACCCGGACCGGCGCGAGCCCCCAGCCCCGCTCCGGGACCGGCCGGGCTTTGGAAGAGCAGGCGTCGCAGAAACCATCTCCGCAGGCGCGGCAGTGGTGCTTGGTGTCATTGGGCTGAAACTCCTCCCCACATTTGTGACAATTCTTGAACCGTTAAAAAAAAAAAAAAGAGAAGAAATATCAAAAAGACAAATCCGTACCATGTGGTCAGCATGCATTATTTTATAGCTGCGCACCAAGATAAGGGAATTAGGTTTCCAGTAGGCGGGAGCAATCTGGTCGGTCAACCAGGAAGTGACCGCTTTGGCAGGTTTGACGCTGAGTTCGGAGACGGACTGAGAGATGTATTTGACTCCATCCAACAACCTTTGGGCCGCGTTGTTGTTGTCTTTCAAAAAGCCATCGGACTGAACAGAGGGAAAACAAACAGAGGTGTAAAAAAATGTATGATTGCGGAAATGACCGCTTCCAAAGAGGCACTAAGCTTTTGATATCAACGAACATCTTCCGTTTGATTTAATTCACGTGTCCTGCGTGCTTCTCCTCAGTCAGCTGAGCTCAGAGCTTACCCCAGGCCAGATGTGCTGGATCTCTGTCCTCACCACCGTTTCCACCGGATCCTGGTTTCCGTACCAGTACTGTCTGCTTCTGTAGATTACTCCGCAGTTCGGGCACTCGATTACATATCTGGACAAAGGTGTTGGTGTCATCACAGAGAGGATAGACAAGGAAGCTCCATTTGTATCTAAAGACTTTGAACCACATCCAATCATCCTCTGAAGGCTTGCGTAGACTCACCCTGACCAGGCGTAGATGGCCAGGCCAAACCACGGCGAGTCGGATGAGGCCGTCGTCTTGGGAACCACAATCACTTCCTTCCCGCCCTCGTAGCAGGCCTGAGCGAGTCCACACAGAAACCGAGAACCTTAGCAAACGGGCATCTTATCATAATCTCAGAGGCGTTCTGCTCTGCTTGCACTTGCCTTGCAGGTGTAGATGCGGTTGTCGTACTGCGCAGAGTAGCGGCAACGATGTTTGGCTTCATGGTCGAGTCCCTCTTTTAAGTGATTCATGCTTCTCTTGCAGCCTGTCCTGCAAACGAGAAAAAGACAATGTGAATCTTTTATACCACTCGCTTGGGTATTAACAGTAAAAGTCATGTATGTTCTTTTTTTTTTTTTTTGTCATTAATGATCTTGTAAAAACATACATACCCACAGCTGAGGCAGATGCTGGAGCAGGTGAAATACTCATCTGGGAAAAAGGAGTTACTGGTCATTCGTTCATCTGGGATCTCCCCACAGAAACGCTCACTCAAGGCCTGACCAACAGAAGCCGGTTAGTTTTAAAGGAAGCACAGCAGCGTGAATGTGCAGGCCGCCGTGATCAAGGCCAGCATCAACAACACCTGGAGAGCCTTGAAGATGACGCTCGCGGAACGCGGCGATCGGGTGTTGTTGTTATCCAACTGCTGCTCCAGGCTGCGCAGCAACCCGCTGAAGTCTGTGGGAGGGTTGTAGGTGCGAGTCCCGCGGTACTGGATGGAGCTGAAAGCCTCAGGGAAAAGCCCCAGTTTCCTGAATCGTTCCTGGAGCAGACGCTCGGCCGACTCGGACGGTTTGTCTAAATGCAGAGAACACGTACAGAGAGGAGGCAGAAGAATGGGTCACACTGAGGAGTTCCCGTCCTGTTGGACAGGTTTCACCAACTCAAATGTAAGACTTTTTAAGACCATTATGAAGACAATTTAAGATGTATGTCTTAAATTCCATTCAAATAAACATGTTTCCACCACATCTCACTGCTGTTGATGCGAGGAGCAGCCATATTGAAATGCAAGTCATAACTTGAGGTAGTCAGAATTGCTCCAAGATGCTCCGACATGTGGAGGCGTTGCAATTGATTTTACTGACTGGTACTTTTTTTTTTCAGTTCCAAGTACAATGAAGATGTTTGTGTGTGACTCAAATTTTTCCTGACAGAAAAGTATCGTTAAAAAAATAGATACAATATATGTGATTAAATTTAAGACCTCTGAACAACATATTTAAGGCCAACTTACTTTTTAAAAATGAATTTAAGACGTTTCAAGACCTTAATTTTAGACATACATTTTGAACTTTTTATAGTTGACCTGGTCCAATGTAATAAATTATTTGATTCTAATCTAATCCGGCAGGCTAGATACCTGATCCTAGAAGCTTGGTGTGGACGGTCTCATGGAAAATAATCACTGCTGGACCCAGCGTTGACAGCGGAACGTCCAGACCGCAGCGGGCCGTCGTTGCCTTCAGCTCTTTTGTAAAGTGTTTCAGGTAGGCGTCTGACGCGTCTCCGAGGAACTTAAAGAGATCGTCGTGGAGACGGTCCGCATGCGTTCGGTAGATAACCACGTCAGAAACAGCCAGGACCTTCAGAAGAAGACGCGTTCGCTGACCTTGGTTGGCTCCTGATGAGTGAAAAAAAAGTAAAAAATAAAAATTGGTTAACAAAGACCAGGTGACAGTGGTGGTGAGCAACTAATTAAAGTGAAATAATTTATCCCGTACCGGCCCCAAGCAAACCCTCGGTGTCAATGACTACAACACTATGGATGGGGTCCAAAGCTGCCCAAACCCCCACGGTGCAAGACTCTTGTGTGGGGGAGGTCTTGAACACTTCTCTTCCAAGAAAGAAGGTGTGGTTCAGGGTGTAAGATTTGCCCTCCCCGGTGTTGCCAAAGATGGAGACCACCTTGAGGAGTCCATCAGGGGTGCAGCCAAGTCTGCTGACAAAGTCCTCCTCATTCTTCACCTGAGAATCCACATTAGATCATATCATGATTATTACATCATGTAGGACTTGAGCTATTAATCATGATGACGCGATTATTGAAATAACTGTCAACAAATTTAGTCATCGATTAATCGATAACAGCCGTATAAAGACTCAAAACAAGGAAATTTTCTGAAAGTGGTTATTAAGCCAAAACTGTACAAACTATATATATTTTTGCATTTAAGTCCTAAGTTNTCATAATGCATTTTGCATTCCTTGAGTGGCATAGTTTTAGCTTTACCCGGCTCTAATTTGATATTGCATTTTAGGCGATAAAATGTTTTTTATTTTCTCATTTAAAATGGAAATTTAATTGTTTATTTATTTGCATCTTTTAGCATGAGATCATATAATTGTATAAAAAGGGCTTTTGTGGTTAAATAAAAAAATCTCGAGAATGTGCCAATTTTTTTATCCGATCAGAATAATCGATTACTAAAACGATCTTTAGTTGAAGCCCTAATATCATGCAAATAATAAAGAGCTGCTGCTGAAAAAAAAAAATCTATTTTATGGCTGTTACCTGCATTTCCTCCTTCTCATCAACCAGCAGGAAGCTGCAAACCTTCTCCAGCTTCGACTTGAGGATCTCCATCTCCGACTCCCCATCCGTCACGCTGCTCTCCTGAGGAGCCTTGGCGGGGGGATACTGCGTCAGAGGGTGCTTCCGCTTGTTGACTCCGCCGTGAGTGCGTTTCTGGCAGTCCAAACACAGGTTGATCTTGCAGCCCTGGCAGCGCACCACCGCTCTGAGTCTGCCGGCGCAGCTGTTGTCGCCTTTACAGGTGTCACAGAAGGGAACGTGACCCGGCGTGATCCGAACCCGGTCGTGATTCCTCATGCGCTCCTGGCGGTGGAGCTCCAGTTCACAGCGGGTGCACTGCAAGCTGCCGCATTCGTCGCATTCGAACGCAGCCTCGTCTGACCCACCGCAGGCGTAGCTCTCCTGGCAGACCAGGACTGTGTTCATTCCTTTATCCACCGCCGGACTTTGGCCGCTCATGGTAAACCTGGAAGGTCAGATTGATTCCCCTTAATAAGCAGGAAAATTTATGTGCTTATTAATATTTGAAAAACTCAGACCTTTGAAGAGAAGCAGCAAAATTATTAATACATTACTGAAGTGAAAGGAAATTATACATGGTTTTCCTTTTTCTTTTCTTTTTTTTACCACTAGACTATCTGAAAAGTGTGGATTCCATTTGTTTTCACCCCTTTCATCCTAATAACACCAAATAAAATGCAATGTAACCAACTTATTTCAAACTTAGTAGAAGGTGTTAACCTAGGAGTTTAATGCAATATAAAAACAAATGTTTTGGAGGAGCAAACAGTAGCTAACAAGCAGAATCATGACGATCTGCAGAGATCCACAGTTCAGGTGGGAGAATCTGCTGACAGGACAATATTTGTTATGCATTCCACGCATTTGCTCTTTGTGAAAGAACCATATTTGAAGGAAAATCATGAGATGTCTTTGTTACAAGTTTATCACAAGCCATGTAGGCGACTCAGCAAACATGTGGAGGAAGGAGTTCTGGTCAGATGACATCAATATTAAGCTTTTGGGACAAACATGCAGAACTCCATATGTGGCAGGAAAAAAAATGCTGCAAATCCAACTGAGCACACAACACTGAAATATGGTGATGGTAACATAAGTAAGAAAATACTGATCTCAGTATTTTCTACTGGGATCAGGAATTTGGTTAGAGTTGATGGGAAGATGGGTGGAGCTAAGCTGATGTTTACCGATGTTCTTTGTTGATCTGAATGCAAAGCTAATAGTTGTGTTTAGGGGACATTTAGAGGAATCTATGAGCTGGTGTCATTTAATATTTATCTCTCAAAGTCATACAAATAACAAGGTTTTTTTTTTTACTCTTATTTTTATTATTATTATTATTATTAATAATAAACATAACTCATTCTCAAGTACAACAGTGGTAGGAGACACTTTCCAAGCCTATTAAATATATTTTTTCATGATGACATAAAAATCTGTTAGGTAACATTAAGAAACGCGGCAGCTCACCAGATGGTGCTAAGTTTCACGTCAGAGTCCTCCAACTCAATAATAAACAGCCGTAAGCTAACAGCAGCTACTACACAAAGAGACAACTCACTTCTGAGGAGACAATGTAAGTCAATGTATCTAGCAGTTCTCACCCCCTCGTTGGACGGTTCTCAGGTTGAAAACGCTGGCTGAACTCGGTCTAAAACTGGACCCGTCTGCTATCCAGGACCATCCTGTCTACTGCCACATATAGCTGCCCCGTCGGCAAAGCTAAGCTATGTTGTATCAGCAGCCACTGGTTAGATGTTATTGCAGCTGATCGGCTTGTTTTTACACAAGGGTCAAGAGTCAGCGTAACGCAGTGCATCACGGGAAATATAGTTTGTTTATTTTTTGTGTTATGGCCCAATTCACTTCGAAGGAACAATCAGCATAATTTTAATTTATCGTGAAATCAAAACAATTTAGCCCCTGCTTAAACTCTACTAACGGTTGCAAAAAGCGAATTAAAAACTTTCTGAAGATGCGGCTTCAACGTTTTTTATACTACCCAAAATGCTTTGCGCCTCACAGCTTCTGTACGGTTTGTTTGTATTAAACATCGGCGTACACCGAATGACGCAGCAGCGGGGTTGAAAATAAAATAGCTGTCCATGAGTAGAGAATTCACAGTAGAACAGCAGCAGAGTGATAAATACACGAAATTACACACAATTAAAGTATATACAGTGGTCCAACAACTTCAGTAATGTATCCTATTAGTTAAAAATAAAGTAACGGGTACACCGATAAATTGACAATCTCTTGTTATAGTAATCACTGATTACTGGTGTTAAAAGTAGCGCTTAATACTTTACATAAAAAATAGTTGATCACAATAAGTTCCAAGTACAAATTTGTTTGTTTCAGAAAATTTAGGGGACCTTGCCACTCACATTATGGCGGACGCTTAGCGTATCCTTACTCGCAACGAAGCCAATGCTGTTTAGTTTTTATCTCAACGCTGTGTCTATGACTAAACCCATGGTCAATATCATGTGATGAAGATAAATTTATATTGTGCTGATTAATGTTGTTAATAATTAAACTGTGATTCATTGATAAAGCACATTAAAGGACCGCTTTAGTTAAAGCTGCAAATCTGGACGCGCTGGTGTACAAAACATTACGCCCAAAATTAAGATTGATTTGAGCACTAACATCTCCGCACCAATCTCTGGCATAGTTATTTGATATATTAAATTGCGGAGTTTTTTTCCCCCCTTTTATATTTTGACGGGAGCCACCGTTATCCTTCAATGGGCGTTTTCCCCGTCGTTAGTTTTTACTATCTTTTGTTAGCATAGCCTGCTTTTAACCTTGACTCCAAGCGTATACCAGACTTTAGCTTGCTGCTAACTTTAGCTCTGATAAATCACTCAGTGCTCGCCTTTCTTCGTCTATAACTCTATTAGTTTCGTCCGCAATGGAGGACGAAGCCTTGTCTAATATAAGCGGCAAAGCGATATCCCTGGATTGCCAGACTCACTCCAGCTTTTGCAGGGAGTTCACTGTTAGCTCCCCCAAGATGTCCATCGGTAAAGTGATGGTGTACACTTGTTCTGTGTGGCTCTTAGCTTATGGTGTGTTCTTTTTCACAGAGGTAAGACAGTGTGTTTCAATTATCACTTAATATTGACCAGATCGCAATCACAAGGCTTTTTATTTTTCATTCTAAACCTAATGAGAGATCTTTATTTCACAAGGAAATATTTAGTTACTCGGTATACAGTTTAGAGAATGTCATAAATATTACATTATATACAAGGTTCGCAGTCATTCATCCAGCGGCTGTGTTTTTGAATTAAAAAATATTTAAAGTTCATAGGAAATTTGAAAATAGGACTTCATAATTATGTGTTATTGGAAGAAAGGAAAATTAACATCTGAACACCAAAACTATAAAATCTTAAAAAATTCAAACATTTAAAAAAAATCTCAAGTAAATAAGCAATGCTAAGCCTGGAGGGGACACAAGTAAAGCCTGGTGGCCCTGCCAGGCTTATAATACCTGCATATACTTATAACTAAGTTCTCGTAATTGTTGTTACTTTACTGCCTTCATGAACCTCACTGTCCCTCTCTCTCCTGCAGAACACCGCAGTTCTCTCCAGTGCTATTCTCATCACCCTCACTGGCATGATGCTTCACATCCACTTTGTGAAGGTGGACCACGAGTCTCTCCTTGTCATCGGCTCCCTGGGCATCCAGGTGTCCTCCAGCTACGCGTCAGGTCGCGAGGTCACCACTTTCATCGAGATGAGCAGGATCAAAGACATTGTCATCAATGAAGCTGTTTACCTGGTGAGTGGGTGCATGCTGCGAAACAGGAAAAATAGTCTCTTGTACGTCTACGGGAACTCTTTTAAATGGATATTTGTGCTTTTATTTCAGAATCAGATCATCTACTACCTGTGTGTGCTGTTAAAGGAGCCTTCTGAACCCAATGTAGTCTCAAGTGTTGTCCCATTGTTTCAGGTGAACTAGAAGTCTGTTAAGGCAGATGTCACATTTAGCAGGACTAACAGGAACATGTCACGATGACTGTCCCGTCTTTATCTTTCAGAGCTCCAAGCCGAGGCTCAACTGCTTAGCGAAGGTTTACAAGAGCTGTCAAGAGATTCTGTCCAAGTGCCAATGACACATAAGTCGTATAACCTCATAACATTGTTCATGGACCTTGTTTGATTATTTTACATTTCTTTTTGACCGATGAGAGCAGAGAATGCATTCTTTACCCAGGATATCTTAAATATTTACAGGATTTATTTCCTTTGTGAATACATCCATGAAATGAGACGGATTTACTTTATTTGTAAGCAGTAGTTTAAGTGTGTTACTTTGTTATAAAGGTAGTTTAATACTTGCTTTCATAGGAAAACATTCTTTCTCCTTCTAGTTGTTAACTTATATAGTGTAATATATATTGTACACATTTTGTGTAAGTTAATAAATTTTAAAACAAACTTAAGTTCACTTGCATGCTTCTTTTTCTAGAGCAATAGTTTTATTCGACAGTAGGGGGCACCAATGCTTTATAAAATTGAAAAAAGGTTTCGAAATATCTTCCAATACATGCTTTGAATGTAAATGCAACTTATTTTAGTTTAGATGTAAAGACATCTACTAGCTTAAGAGAGGTTTACAAGCTATTTAAATTTTTATTTTAAAATGCCATGTTTATAATGAAGCATACCCTTCTGCTGGCTCGGCTTCTCTAAGATGTTAGCATTATTTACATTCAGAAAAAAAGTGTTTGTGAAATTAAAGGATTAAACCTGGAGTTCATAGGAGTATGAATAATTTTGGGCTTACTGGTTCAAATATTTAATATTTTACTTCCTTGTTGAACTGCATGTCTAATCTAGCCGTTCTCTTAGTCGGACACGTTTCACATGTCTGCCTTAACAAGACTTGTTTGTTGAGTTATTCTTACCTCAGATTACCGCTGCAGTGGGTGCAGTGATGGTTTCAGAGCCATGCTTGCTGCACAAGTATTATATATATTTATATACTGCTCAAAAAAATAAAGGGAACATTTCACTTTAATTTTGTGTGTGGCTCCAAATCCAGGCCTCCATTGGTTAATAAATTTGATTTCCATTGATGATTTTTGTGTGATTTTGTTGTCAGCACATTCAACTTTGTACAGAACAAAGTATTCAATGAGAATATTTCATTCATTCAGATCTAGGATATGTTATTTAAGTGTTCCCTTTATTTTTTTGAGCAGTGTATTTTTTTGGACAGTAGTTTCAAAATGCATCATGCTAGTGATGGTGTACAATGGGGGGGCTGGGATACCCCTGGACAGATATTTAAATGACTTCCATTCTCTAAAAATGAGTAGTGCATTAGTAAGATTTGGTGGGGTGGAGGGAGGGGGTTAATATGTTTTGCTCTATTTTTTTTTTATTTTTTTTTATTAAAACTTCAGAACCATCTGAATTGTACAATTAATTGTATGGGTATGTGACATTCATGGAGTGAGGCTTTCCCCTGATGGGAAGTGGGACCTTCTGACGTAACAATAGACCCTCCTGGAGGTGTGAGACAGTTGGGAATCAACAAGAAGTGGGAGGCCCGGGAATTACCAAGAGCGACACCTTGGGGTCTCTGAATAGGCCTCATAAAGCAGCAGCTACCCCCATAGTGAGCTGAAAGATCAGGCAGGGCAAAAACCCAGTAAGGCTTGCTTTAGACTCAACGGTGATCCACTATCACCTTACGGTAGGGCTACAATCGTAAAATGACCTCTCGCATAATAACTCGTGAATTTGCCATCTTTTTCTGTTTTAAATTTGTGTGTTTCAGTAAGGTGTTCACTGTGCTTCAGTATCTAAAGAGTGCATGTAAAGTACAAATAGCTTACAGTGTTTTTGGGTGTGAAGACATCATGGTTTATTTTAGGTGGAGGTACCTGTGACCCACTGAGAAGAGGAGTGATCCTTTTCCCACCTGCAGTGCACACCCATGTGCACACACTCTGCTTCACTGACATTAAAACAATACAACACAGTCAGAGGTAGAGAGTTTGCATAAATGCGATGGGCACGGCTCATCCCTTTTGAATCCCTTCTCTCCCCTTCCGCTAACAGATTGAATTTTGCTTTTAGTCCACTGTCCTTGGGATAACACCACTAGGATAGGTCACTGAAAACAAATGGTATGGAAGACGCCTTGTAAGGAAAAAATATTCAGAATATCTGTGTGTGATCTTGTTATGTAGAGAACTGGAAGGCTTGTTTATGACCTCAGTGTCTGCGGCACGTCGTCTATTGAGCAGTTCTTCCAGTGCTGGAGACTTCTAGAATATGTCGTGCTGTATCTTACATCATTACATTTTTCTTTTCTGAATGTTCTCGACAACATCACAGTTTTAGTATTTTTAAAAAGCGTCTCGATGTGTATATCTGCGGTAGTAGCTATTTAGCTGCTAGCAGTTAGCATGGCAAACTCTGCCTGTTAGAACATCAGAGGAAATTAGCTTGTTTTGAACTTAATGAATACTAGATAGACAGTTTAATTTCCGTAATTAAAATTTTGTACATAAAACTTTTGAATAGAAAACTAATAAGATGAAAGCAATAAATTTTACATTTATTGCTTTCATAAAAGCAATAAATATTTTATTGCTTTTAGTTCGTAATAACTAGCGTTCGTAACAATGCTAGTTGTTACAGACAACTAGCACGTTGTCTTCGTAACATGCTAGTTCCAGCTACATAATGACCATTTACAGTTGAAACCATATTTACATTATCTAAAAAGTCCAGTTATTTTTTTTTTACTTTCTAACATTAAATTAGACTTGAATATTTTACCAGATTACCAAAATTAATTATTTTTCCTAAATACCAGAATTATATAAGGACATTTCAAAAATCCTTTCTAAACTTAGTCTAGTTTTATTACACACTTCCTCTGTATTTTGATATATTTCCATTTTAGCACAGTATAAATTCTGTCAAACATTATTATTATTATTATTATTATTATTATTATTATTATTATATTGTGTTCTAAAAGTTTCTCACAACAGTTTGCTCTTATTTTGACAACTGCATTCTGCCAGAACTGATGTAGCCGGATCATATTTGTTTGCTGCCCTGCTTACACACAACTTTTCAGTCACTGAAATGAGGTTATTGAGATACCCACTACTAAATAGTAATTTGGTTGTCCTTAATCCACTTTAAGCAACTTGCTGGTATCCTGGCTGAAGATTATAAGGTACTCCAGTTTTTATACTTTTCCTCAAAATGCAATTAAGGGTCAGACTACTGGACATACCACCAATGTCTTATCCCTTTAAAAAAATGATAACTATAATCTAGTCCTTTATATGGCTTTTGAAGTAATGGCTTCTTTGAGCAATCTTTCAACAGTCTTGAGGATGAAATGCATGTGTCTCAACAAAATACTGCAGTCATTGGTACACAGAATCCTTCCATGTAGTGGCCAGCCGTATTTGCACATAGTTGGTGATTTCATTTGCCAGAGTTCTCTGGAGTCGCCCACATTACCACAAAAGAAAGCGAGACTTTTACGGTGTTACCTTAAAATGCAACCTGCGCCCTCATTTAGCTCAAACGTTGCGAACCTATTAGAAGCTTACAAAGTCATGACTTTAAAGGCATAGTAATATTTGCAAATATAAACTTCTGTTTTTAAGACAGTGTTTTCTTTCAATTGTCCGACTTTAACATTTCTGAGAATTTCTTAGTTTTAATGTTAGAAATTGATGTCTTTTTTTCCCTTCTAAATATGTAAAATTAATCTCTGAACATGAGTAATTTTTTTTCCAGAAATGTACTCTTCCATGGCCAGTTTTTCTTTTCGCTTAGTCTCAAATGGTCCCCTAATATTAGCATGTTAGTATTTTCATTTTTGACCAGCTTCGTTACTGTAGTTTTGAGCTAAATACAGTGGAAAACATGGTGTGCCGATTTTTGGCAGCTGGTGTATGCAGTCATTTCTTTGCCCTGTTAATATGATGAGTTCGGGAGCAAAAGGGGGAAGCGCTTCGTGTTATTGTTTTTAAAGAAGTTTCAGTTAATCTGGTTCAGACAGGTAAGAGACGCATGATGTCAGTTTAGATTTGAATCTTGAAAAGAGTCCGTAAAGTCCCTCCCTGCCTTTCAGGCAATGTCATCTTTGAAAACATGTTACTGTTACACTTCAGTGATATAGGATGAACATTTATGTTTCCCTTGCTTACAACTACACAAGGGCCACTTACCTGTATATTGTCTGACTGTTCTGATGCCCCAAATAAATCTGATTAGCTCAACGTAAAATAAATAAATAACTGTTCCACCAGGAAAGTTAAAAATAAAAAAATAAAAAAATGCACAGTAGTCAGATAACATGATATGATATTATAAAAGATTTGATCACTGGCAAAATATTAAAAACATTAATATGTTTTTAATATATTACTAGAAGACTTACTAGAAGTCTTCTAGTAATATACTAGAAGACTTCTAGTATATTGCATACAACCCACATTGACTCCTAGTGGCCTGATCCATAAAACCAGTAAATGACTAAAATATTTCTAATATGGCACAAGGCAAAGGCTAAAGCAGGAGTCTTCAGACTCCATAAATAGGTACTGAGCTTCCTGGATCATTTAGAGATAGGTCATGGAAGACATTTGACTGCTGGAAAGAAAAACAAATACCTGAACAATGACAACATGCACAGTAGAAAATAAAAAAATATATATTATCGCATTGCAGTTCCTCTGTTTGGCCTTAGCTTTGACTATTTCTCCTTGTGCAACCTCTCATGCAGAATCACCTCTTGTTTTCTCCTCAGATTAACCGACAGATTATTTTTCCATCCAATGAAGTTGACTTTGTGTCTAGTGAATCATTTCTGTGTTGGTTAGGTCACATATAATCCTGTTTGAAGAGACAATGATGTCTAAATTTACTGGTTTTATTTCAAATTTGCCACCTGGACACACATTTTAATAATTACTAATTAGATTCTCTGTTCAACAGAAAGTATCAATTGAAAAATAAATATTCATATACTTTTTTTTATTTTAAAGCATTTTAGTCCAAACAGTTAGCCTTGCTGATCAAAATCCTCAAATTGAAAACATTCTTCATAAAACTAATTATATGGCTACATGTTTTTCATTTCCAGTGCTCAGTATTAAGCCAAATATGGAATATTGTGATATTGTGGTTGTTAGACCTTTTTTCTTTCTTTTTTTTAATAAAGAAATATGCAAATCCTTGTAGATCCCAAACATAAAAATGCTCTCTCACATGCAAATATTTTGAGGTTGATTGTTTTCTCTCTCTCTCTCTTGTTTTTTGTCTATTCTCCCACTGAACTAGATAATAGGAACTTCTTCCTTTTAATGTGCTTTCTGTGTTTTCTCAAGATTAATGAATACTGTGGGTTTAAAAAAGGCAGATACATTATGGTGTGAAAGAGATTTTCCATTTTAAC